TACGTCGAGGTGGCTTGCCTCCGGGAAAAACTGGAGGAAAAATCAAGGCACGTAAAGAGAAGGAAGCACGAAAAGAAGAGGAGGAGAGGGGATCGTGAATGAGAGAGAGTACGCAAAATAGGTTTGAAGGTTTTAATCTTGGATTCGAACTTTTTATCTTTTACTAAAGGTATTTATTTTCAACTCTACAGGTATGTGCCTGGATTTGATCGACATCAAGCATCAACGTAACATTTTAACGTCGATACCGAATCAATTAATCAAATTGTTAAATTTATAATATTACACTACATTAATATTGAAACTGTGAATTCTGAGCATTTAGATGGATCTTCTAATTGTGCGTTCGACAAGTTATTAATATTGAAACTGTGAAAGGGAATTCTGAGGATGTGGATGGATTTTCTAATTCTCGTGAGAATTCGAGGATATTGAAGTATTTGACGAATTATTGCTTGGCCCTTAATAGGAGCTGTTTCGTAAGTATTTCACAGAAATTCAACATTTTCTGATGAAATCGACGCATCATCAATGCCACAGAAAATACTGCACCCTCTTCTTCTCCTCGAATTTCTTCTTCGAAAAAGAGGAAGCAATTGCTGCAAGATGAACGAACGATCAAGAAACAGGTTCGAAAGGATAGAGATCGAAAAGCCAGAAAAGTGCTTCTGGATCCGTTCGACTTTGAAGATTCGATGTTTTTTTTTTTTTTTTTTAACAATTGTGTGTTCGGAGAAGGAAAAAAGATACATTTTTTCTTTCTCTAAAGACACACAATTACAAAAAAAAAAAATTGTCAAAAATATCGTTCGAGACCTGTCAAACGAGCGAAAAACAATTTGAACGGCGATCCCTCGGATGGAAAACAATTTTCACAACGATCGGCCAGCAGAAGATACGAAGGAAGACGGAGGGGAAAGATTCAAAGAGGGCGAAGTGGATCGAAGCGTATGGGAACGGTTTTACGGGCTTTCGCGTCTCAAAGGATCAATGATATCGTCCTGCTGGGGCTGTCAATTTCCATATCAAGCGTGTCGGCCCTGGCGGCTGTAAAATCGCTCGGAAATAAAACATTGGATCACGACGGTGGCGGTTGAATCGCGAAAGCGGATCACGGAATCTTCCACGACAAAAAGGAATAAGTATTTCGCGGCGAAAGGATATCGCGAAACACCGTTGGAATTTCTTATCCCCCGGTCGCTTTATAATGCGCGACGTAGCCTCGCGAATAAATATTAAAAGCCCACCCCCTCCACCTCGAGGGGAGGTTTACCCTGTCAGTGTTTCCTCGCTGACCCGAGGAACCAACGCGCGGAATCGAGTTAATTGCCTCGTCGGTTCTTCGCCATTGCTATTCAAAGACGGCCGGTGAGTATTGCCTGGTCTCAGAACTGGTTTCGTTTTCTTCTGGAAGTTTGAGCTGCTCTCTCTCTCTCTCTCTCTCTCTCTTTCTCTCGAGGAGAGAAGAAGTTTCGCCGAGGATGTTTTGTAATTTCGTTCGGTTATATAGACGCTCTTGACGAGGAGAAGCGTTTCACGAGTTTATCGGGAATTCAAATGCGACGTGATGTCGTGAAAGACGTGCTTTGTGAAGTAAGTTTATTTGTAAATAATTTTTAAATGAAATGATTCACATAACTTGCACAATCATTTTCTAATTACGTGTCTAACGAAAAATTGTGCAATACAAAAGTTGTATGGTTTTAAGGGAAGCAAAATATGGCGTATCAATTTTTTTTTTAAAGGAGTTTCGAAATTTTTAAGGTCACATCTGTTTTTCTAAATTAAACTACATGTTTCTTTTCATCGTAAATCGAAAGAATATTAAATTCTAAGTAACAAAGTATTAACCCACATTGGTCCTAAACCTGATAGTTAAAGAGATATTTTGTG